AAAGCATAGGCCGGCAATATCGAAACACACAAACAGTCACACCAGGTTAGAGTTTCCACAACGTCGGGATCAACGCATTTCATCTCGACTTGACTACCAAAGGAGCACCCCCAGCTCTCCTCAGCTTGGGCTCTCCACTTGCAGCGAGTAAGCAGAGCACCAGAGGTGTTGTAAAACATTGCATGCAAGACACCAGATATTTTCAGTTTGATCTCGTCACCCCCACCCGTCACCATCCGTCTGTCTCAAATTCGAGTCGATTTCATGGTCGTAGTCGTTCGTTCGTTGTGTGACGAAATCCAATGCCGCTATGTTCCAATCAAAGCTGGTCGCCGCCAGCCACTCGTCGAGAACCGCGCACGGTTTGTTTTATGAGTCTCCATTTTGCCGTGATGATCATAAGAAGTCGTGAGAAGAAGTTGAACTTTTGTCGAAATGCCGTAAAAAGAACTATGAAATAAATCGTCCGTGGGTATCAACGAGTCTCCACGTCCACCTCGCCTCAGTCACGATGCTGAGTGACGAGCCGCCATTTTAGTTGCTGGGGCACTGAGACTGGACGTGACCAGGCTGCTGGCACTTGTAGCAGATCTTCTCACCACCAGCGGACTCCTTGGGGCAGTCGCGGGAGTAGTGGCCAGACTCGCCGCAGTTGTAGCACTTCATGCCGTTGACACACTCGCCTGTGATTTGGTTAGCCGACATCAGATGCTCCCGGATAAAAGTGCAACGCACGAGACATATGGCCGTAGCCACCGCAAGAGTAGCAGGTCTTGCCAGCGCCACCACCGAAGCCACCACCATAGTTGTTACCGTAGGAGGACTTGGAGCAGTTGCGGGCAATATGGCCAATCTCACCACACTGAAAAATTGTTAGCCACAGCCGTAGTCTGAATGACAAATAAACTTACCTTGTAGCACTCGGTAGCCTGACCGCTGCCACCGCTCATGGGGCAGTCGCGGGAGATGTGGCCGGGCTGGCCGCACTTGTAGCAGGACTTGTTATCCTTCATAGGCTCGGTGCAGTCACGGCCTGGAATGCATTAGTGACGGTCAAACAAGAGAGGTGAGAAACATACTCATGTGGCCCTCGCCTGATAGCAAGAAAGATTAGTCGACAAAATTACAGCATTGAAAAAAGAGCGAGTAGGTCTCACCACCGCAGTTGTAGCTAGATCTCAATTAGCAAAAATAAACTCAACACTCTGAGAGAACACTCACCACTTAGCAGGACCCTTGGTAGGGCAGTCACGGGCCTAAAGAGAATAGTGAGTAGGTTGAGAGACAAATACGTCGAAATGCGCATCATACCTGGTGGCCAGTAGAACCGCCTAGAAATCATGTTAGTATTTGTTCAAGTGTAGAAGTAAAAGTAAATGGAAATGAGACGCCGCAACCGAGGCTCAACGAGATTCGACAGCCACTACCAAGCCAGGTCTGTGGTGAGCGTACGGCACGCGACCACCCGTGCATAAACACGTCAAGTGCAAGCCACAGCATCAAGCCTAGAACCTCAAGAAGCAGCGCACTATTTTGGGTCGCCTCTGGAACCAAAGCAAGCGCAGAAGCTTGCATTGGTCTGGAAACAGGTCTTGGTGCATAACATGCTGATGAAGGAGTCTGAATGAGATAGATCAGACTTACAAGAGTAGCAAGCGCCACGGGGCTGCTGCTGTTGTTGCTGCTGGAAAGAATCCATTTTGAGAAATTGAGTGGTTGTGTGAAAGGGTTTCTGAATTCTCAAAGTCAGTCTAAGAAGTGAGGCACGGTTATGAAAGTATCAAAGTGTGTTAAGGTAAAAGCTAGAGTGGTCATCCGCCTCCGAGATCCGATAGAGGCAAGAGATTGGCGAGGGGCTGATGTGTAGTGACGGAGTTGCAGGAAGTAAGAAGAGGGGCAACTGGAGGAAAATGAAAGGGTTTTCTTTGCGGATGAGAAAACACAGACTCTTTGAACCAAAATGGCTGAGAGGCGTGAGAAAGTCATGAGGGCGATTCAGAGACTCCTGAACTTGGCAATCGGAGCTGTAATCGCATTAAAACAGTGATTGACTGTCGCCAATGGATGGAATCTAACGGCTCTTCCCAACGGCTTGTCATGAGAGTGGACAGTGAGTTTTAAGCCCACTGACAACGTTCTGGCAGGTAGCTGAAAGTGGTAGGCGGGGGCGGGGTGCAGAGATTTCCCAGGTAATTTTGCTCCAGGATTTTTTTTCCATGCGAGCGCTGAGAGATGAGGATGATGCGAAAGAACGGCAGCGAGGTGGGAGTTGCTGGTGAAGAGGCTGCGCGTTGAATTCTGATAAAGTGAAGCCATGGACTTACCGAAAGGTTTGATTTGCTTATATTTGCAAGAGGAAAGGATCAAACGAGAATTTGAGGAAAGTTTGTGGTGATGTGTGAAAGAGAGAACCAAGGCCGAGTTCCAGAGTTTGAGGGGAGTTTTCACGCGCTTTGACGGGTTGAGTAAGTGCGGGTCGACTCTGCATACCTGCCCTGCCCGCCGTCTACCTTAGTTACCTTAGTCTAAAGTCCCTGGCCCAGTGCGTTTCTTAATCCACAGTGGAGGCCTGACTTCTCGCTTCAGGGCTCAAATCGTTGGCCCTTCTGCTGCAAGGGACGGCTTGCAGCGAGCACATCCACTGGGCTAGCATCGTGGATTTGGATCTAGCCGGGGCACTGTGCAATCACCCGATCACATTTTATTACAGATATTCGTATCCTGACACCCATTGATCTGTAACTACCCGAGAAACTGATTTAGATAAATTGGCGCTGTTATTGTGTTCAACAGGCATTGGCTCGCTTGGCGTTGTTCTCGAAAACCTCGAGTCAAACCAAGGATGCACAATGTCAATCTGACAAGGCCTTGCTTTATCATGGATGGGTCGATATCTTCTGAGTTGGCTGTTACACAACATTTAGAGCTGTTCTATTGGTACTCAAGCCTTATATGGCGACGTTGTACAGAGATGATGCAAGATGCCCAAGCCGGTCAAGATGCGACATTATGGCTATCATCATTTTGTATCACTCGACCTGTGCTTGTGCTTGTGAGGCTGAGTGTGATAGGTCATAATCATCTATCAGAGCCGAGCCAAGCAGATAGGTACAGCAGCTGTGATCTTTTGAGGCACCAAGATATGTCAGATGAGATACTCTGTGACCTCTTAATCGCAAATCTTCCCAGAAACTGCTCTTAACACACTTGCCAACGTCGTCAAATGACCTTGCATCAGACGCTGTAACGTGATAAAATGCAGTTGCCCTAGTTAACCATGCACAATCAGGCGAGATCGCCAAAGACGCGGCGCGACCGCACAGATGGGGCAAGGTGGAGATTCTAGCTGTTTCAGGTATAGTCTGTAAAGCTATAATTTGAGATCCAGATCGACGGAAGATACCTAACCAATACCAACCAACACCATGAGACGACTTATCAACTGAGGTATATACACTGCCCTCGGTCTGATCCAGGCACATAAGAGACAATGGTTCTCGGAAAATGAAAAAAGAGCCCTTCGGTTGAATTAACTCATTCTTCAATAGTCTGCGGCCTTCCGCTGGCTAAGAGCCTCACTGGACGCTTACAAGTTACAATTAAGTTCAAAGGATGTTGTCTCCCTCGACGAGACAACTTGGTTGTATGACGTTCTCCGATTGGAACTTGTGTTCAGTCTCAACATGGACGTTGTGCACCCTTGTAGTCGGAGAATTGTACGTACTTGGTATCTGAGTGTAACACAAAGCTGCTGTGCGCCTTTGAATAGCCTCCTGGACAACGACGATATTCGATCCGTCTGAAGCACCGACTGGTTTTCTGTGCTGAGATTCTCTTTCCCCCTCTGTACTAAACACGGTTGTTCTAATTTTATATGAAAGGTTGGCCATCGGGATCTCTAGTAGCGAGAAGAAATCAAACGACGTTGTAGCCTGGACATTGACGTTTAAGCATATCGCCCAAGGTTCCGGGACTGTATTTACATAATAATATCCATTTAGTAACTTGATTTAATTGTAAGATACTTGTCGATTCCTGTTGTCGGTCCACTTATAAACCTAACAATGGAGGATGTTCGACTTCGCCGTAAGCATCAATTGCTTGTTGGAATTTCGTTATAGAGGAATGGATGCTGGTTCCTTGAAAATAGAGAAACGGAACTTTAGTAGGCCCGCACTGTATTACATTTCCTAAAGGCTGAGTTTGCCGAGCACCTGGTGACTGGGTTTGAGCAGAGTAGCTACTATTGTGAAGCCATCAATCACCTTGACTGGAATATACATGATTCTGCTGAGTTCTAACCAGACTGGAGCAACCTATGAGATTGAAATAGTTCAGTAAACCATTGCCATGATTCCGGCCAGTTATCTTCATGAACCCTCTTATAAATGCGAATCGTCAACCCCAAAAATGTGAAGATACAGATGGAACCCTCTTTTGTTTTAGACGATTCGCCACAATGTATGCTTTTTGCAAACATTCTAGATTTGTAACACGCCAACAGGCCACGATATTTACGTCTCAGTGTATTTTTGAATGGACCAAGCGAGGCCGAATATGAGACATAAGGCTGATGAGAGTTGGCAGCCTACACCAAAAACCTTACCTCTACGTCTATTCTACAGGACGATAGGAGATATTTCGATACGTCCCAACCTTATTATGTAGAACTGACTTTAGCATCTCACAGGAAAATAATGTGAAAATTTCTTCTGCTGTTTCCTCTCATTCGCTTTAATCTACAGACTTTTATTCTTGGGAAAGTTTTTGACAATCGTTAGTTCGATAGTACCATAATAGTACTAATTCCTTTGTACTGATCCTCTCATGTGTTTCCGATTGATAGGGTGCCTCTTGGCAACCCTCCTGTCATTCCACGGATTGGTGACGGCTGTGAACATCCCAACACGTCCCCCTTTCGCCGGTACCCTCCGCAGGTTGAACACTATTATGGTATACCTCGTTATAAGCACTCCGCAAGACTGCACCACCTTTTAGAGATGGGATACCGGCCAGTATCGCTAAGTTCTTATGGACCTCCTCACGACGCCCGTTACTCTACAATCTGGGTTTATGAGCCACTTGGCCCAGATTTGCAAATGATCCATGATGTACCCAAGCCGGTCTTCGATTCATGGGTCGAAAAGCTACGAAAAAGAAATTATATCCTTACCCATGTTACGGTCACTGGTACTGAAGAGGAGGCTATATTTACTGGCGTTATGGAAGATGACAGAAAGCCAAACAAAACCGTCTGGACACTTGATTGTGGTATAAAGAACTGGGAACCGTTTCTTGAGAGAACAGAATTAGGCTTAAAAATGAAAACACAAGGTTTTAGTTCGTACGGCACGCCTGACAACCGAACATATTGCATCCTGCGTCACGAGAATCGTGGAAATGAGAATGTCGCTCTGTAAGCCGACCTAGGAGAGGAGGACTTCCAACGGACCTTCGCAGAGGAGATTACGAAGCCTTTCTGGCGTCCCAAGAAGCTCTTTATATCTAACGACCTCAAGATCTCTGGACTCTTCACTGACACGAGTGTTGGGGGTTGGTACAGCGACACACACTTGAATGAAACAGCCCTCGAGGCGACTATCAAGGAACAGACATCAAGGGGGTTGATCCTTACGGATATACAAGGCGGCGTACACGAGGGCGAGGAGTTTTACAATGTCATCTTTCAAGAACTTCTAGAACCAAAGGCCCGTCACTGGCATGCTGCAGGGAAAGAAATTGGGTCCCCAAGGGAGGATAAATCTTTGGACTCGATCATGGAGAGGTTTATGAAGACGAATGGCGTCAGACAAGCACAAGTGGCTATAGCATCGAGGGGTGTAATCAAGGCCGAGCGGGCCTACACTTGGGCCGAAGACGACCGTGAAACTGTTGCAACTAACGATAACTTTCTTCTTGCCAGCGTGAGTAAGATGTTCACCACTGCTGCTGTTGACAACCTCATAAAACGCGGCAAACTCTACCCTTGGACAAAGGTTTATAAGCGCCTGGGCTACTTTGATGCAAAGGACGAGCGGGCCAAGAAAATCACCGTTTCGGCTCGACCATAAGGGAGGATATGATCGATGTGAAGCTGGCGAGGATATCTCACTAGGCTTCAACAAAGTTGCAATGACCCTCCCCACAAAGGGAAACAGGACAGCTACTACTCGCGATGTCATTGAGTATATGCTCACTCAGCCTCTGCAATTTACCCCAGGAGAGAAGAAAGCATATTCAAATTATGAATTTATGCTCCTTGGGTATCTAGTAAGCAACGTCACAGGAATACCATATGTGGACTTTTTGGAAAAGAAAATCTTTCGAGGCTTGGATGTAGAGCTGTACAAGACTTCACCATACGAACATTAGCATGATCGCATTATCCAGGAAAGCCGCCTGACTGGGTTAGATACGCTGCGCCCGATGTCAAACAGATCAGTTGCTGCAGTGTACGGTGGATACGGTGCTATTATGGAAGAATGCGCCGCTGCATTTTCTCTCAAAGCGAGTGCCAGCACCATCGCCAAGTTTGCCGGGTTCCATGGCAAGTACCACGTTTCTGCCTTATGAATGTATCTAGACTAACCAATGGTATAGCTGTGAGCGGAATTGGGCGTCGAAAGAATGGTTATCGTCGAGGTAACTTCGAAGGCGCCCGCACCCATGTCGAGAGCAATGGGGACTTCGACTTTGCTGTGGTGTTTAACACCAGAGACTTCGCTTTCGACCAGGAATTCTAGTACCTGACAGAGAATCAAATCCGCCGGCTCCTAGATGACTTGGTGCCCCCATTTCCTCGCTCGAAGGATAAGAATTGGGGGTATTGACGAGGGGTGTGATTGACAGAATCGGTGGGATTTATACGAAGCCTGCATTTGTGTTAAGCCCATTTGGAGTGTCACGAAAGCAAATCACTTGCTGGATTTCGTTATCAGTAATAGGCTCTTCAGTAAACCTGAGTTGACTACAGGCTCAATAGCTAGGCTTTTATATTTCTTACGATGTAGTGGCTAGCTTCAATCAATGATCAGAGTACCTTAGTGTGAAGGGTATCTGGGGCCAATATTCAGCACCATGCCTTTCAGAGGACAGACACACTCCGCGGCTCCTTACTTACATAAAGGCAAATGGAGATTGCCTTGTCTTCAATTATTTGCAGAGTACATGGAGTGCTATCTCGGCGCCTGGTGGATATCTGCTTCTCATGAGCTGACATCATCCCATTCGCTCACTGAAGCGGGAGACGTCTCACGCTATTTCAATCAACCTCAATAATGCTAGCAACACCATTAAAAATAACCTTTGATCGATGCTCGACACCTTTAAAATCTCACTGGAGATGATTTGATAATTGGCTTATCAAAAGCCTTGTATCTCAGCCTCCCTGGCCTAATCGTGACTAACGATGACCCATCACCAAGTTAGACTCTCGTCACGACTTTGATCAAAGAGTGGACCTTTTCTAGTTACGAGCTCAACCCTTGTTCAACTGAACCCTCCGCCAAGCTTCATCTTTCATGGTTTCCGGCCTCACAATGTCTTTTTCCGCAGACGGCGATGGCCGTCTCGACCTCAAACCCCGCGTCCAGGACATGGACAATGATAACTGGAAAGAAGGCCATACACGAGTGGCAGGGCAAAAACGCTTCATTTCCACGGCCAACGTTCGAATCGTGGAACGCCTCAAGCACATAACATGGGCATGGTTCACATTCGTCATGAGCACAGGCGGTATTGCGCTGCTGCTACATTCAACCCCACATCAGTTTCGAGGTCTGCATGTCATCGGCATGATCTACTTTATCCTCACGTTGGTCCTTTTTGTTACCATCGCATCCGGTCTTGTTTTTCGCTTCGTGAAGACGCCGTATGCGTTGCGGAATAGCTTGATGCATCCCACTGAGAGTCTTTTCTTCCCGTGCTCTCTACTCAGCGTCGCTACTATCATTGCGAATGCAACTGTATATGGAATTCCCGCCACAGGGCCGTGGCTAGCTACTGCATTACGAGTGTGTTTCTGGTTGTATGCTGGTCTTTCGATCCTATCAGCCATAGTACAGTTCTATGTCCTATTTACCGGAGCTCATTTGCCTATTCATTCCATGACACCAGCATGGGTTCTACCAGTATTCCCAGCAATGCTCACTGGGACCCTCGCTTCTGCCCTCATGTCTTCTCAGAGCCCGGAACATCGAATGTCAATGCTAGTAGCTGGTCTGACTTTCCAGGGTCTTGGGTGGACCGTATCTTTGTTCATGTATCCGTTATATTTGGGCAGGCTGATGCAGGATGGTCTTCCTGCTCCAGCAATGCGACCTGGAATGTTCATCGCTGTAGGCCCAGCAGGATACACAGCTGTGGCCATCATTGGTATGTCGAGATCACTTCCAGAAGGATATGGCTACTTTGCGACATACCCAATGGCGAACGAAATCCTTCGAGTCCTGGCACTCTGGACTGGCGTATGGATCTGGTGTGTCGGCTTCTGGTTCCTCGGATTCAGCCTCTTCGCCGTTCTCGCCTCTGCATTTAGATGGAAATTGAAGTTCAGCATGAGTTGGTGGGCTTTCGTCTTCCCAAATATTGGCTTCACACTAGCTACGGCGTACATTGGTGAGGAATTGCAAAGTGAAGGGATTAAGTGGGTGTCAAGTGTAATGACAATCTTTCTCGTGATTATGTGGTTCGTTGTTTTATATGGAACGATCTCAGCGGTGATTCGCAGGAAGCTTCTATGGCCTGGACGGGATGGCGATGAATCTTAATGAGACTCTTCAACGAGACTGCTTAATGAGGCTGCTTAATGAGACTGTTTAATGATAGACTAGACAATTCGATAGTTGTAGATCCCAGGTCGATCCCCCATACTGAGAAATTCTTCCTCGTCTGTAAGAGGTGCAAACTTGCTAAAATCCCTATTCTCAGCCCAGGGCTCTATGGTCTCTCCAGTCATGCTGACCTGGCCAATTCGGCGGAACTCTCCTTTCTCAATGCCTCTAACAAGAACCAATGCTTCGCCAATGGGACTTCCATCACGATTAAAGCGGCAGTACAAGACTGAAACGTAAATATCGACAACCTCTTCAGCCAGCACAGTTGGGATAACGTCATCGAGTAGAGCCCTGGTTACCGACAAATGTGTATATGCCCCCATGGTTGCCACAGTTGGACCCCCTGGCACTGAAACATGGTTTTGGACAAATCGCAACTTCCCGCCTGGTACGAACTCTAAAGCCTGTTCTTCCGTGAGACGATTCGATAGATCGATCATGTTCATAGAAAGACGAGCCTTGATTAATGGCCCCTGAAGGACAATGTACCCGCCAGAAACTGACCCAAATTCTGACCCCATTCCTTCAACGGATGCCTCAATGACAGTGACTGTACAGTCCCAAGGTTGCTCCGTCTCTGAAAGTTTTATGTTTATTTCCTTGCTCCCTATCAGGAACTTCTTTTTCGTATCTGGTGCTGGCTCGACTGACGCCCAAGACCACGATGGAGCGCGGTAATTCTGTGGTGGTGAGACTTTTCTACCCTCGCTTATAGTCCATAATAAATCTTGAAGGAGAACGTGGCGCCATATTCCAGCCAAATAAGAGTTTGGTTTGATCCTTGCATGGCTCTGATAAAAGCTAGCAATACCGGCAAATGCTACCAAGCGGTCGGACTCAAATGTGAGCGAGCGTGACATGTATTCTTGCAGCAAGGTATGCCACACAACCTGGAGACTCTCTTCGCTTTGGCTTTCCATCGAATATAGGTCCCCCGGAGCCATCGTATGGATGTATTCTCGATGAACATCAAAGCCAAAGCCTTCGCATGTCTCGTTTGCGGCAAAACCTCCAGAGGTCATATCTGAAGCCGAGGTCCACCAGAGCTGGTCTCGAGCAACGTGGATGGTCCTTGGCGATAGAATCCATTCTTGAAAGACCCATCCCCTACGAAACAGGGGCTGGGCAAGAACTGCATCGCAGAAAGCAGATCTGTTCACAATCCTCACAGGCACAGGTGGAATGTGATTCTCAAACCCTGTCCAGGACGGAATGATCTCACAAGGATGCTTCAGCATTGGATGCTGTTCTCTGAGGCCAGCTGCGGAGTCTTGGGCAGCAGTGGCAGAGATTGTGGCATAGGACAGGGAGTAAATAGAAGCCATTTGCGCAGCTTCGGTCTGCCAATCATCCTTGGAGTCTTGAATGATGCAGAGCGAGTCAATCCAAATGTACTCAACGTCCAGCGCATTGGCCAATCTGATGGCGTCTTGAAATGTTGGTGGGATCGTACCGAAGGGGATGTTCTCAAGGAATGCATCTCTCAAAGACTCGAGTAGCATGAGTGGTTGTACTGCACCCCAGCGATGGCTGAGGGCGATGTAACGAGTAGAAACGTCAAAACCAACCGTATTGATTAGTTTAACTGTAGGTTCTCCTCCTGGCTTAGCCGACGGTTGGCAGTGAAGCAGCCTTGTTGGCAGCCGAGGGGTCAATCTTGATATCGTTGGCGACGAACTAAGCCAATTTTTTATTCGTAGCAACGATTCTTGGCGATCGTACTTGGGTTTCCATATGAACCGGTTACCTGCCTCTGAAAGGTCTAGTCTCATTAGAATCATTTGTGTCGAAAAGGCGGACCTGGTACTTACCGACTGTTAAAAAGGCATGGTATATTTGAAAAGTATGGCCCTGCCACTTCTGACCACTCCAAGTGACATACAGAAACCCAAGAGTGAACATGCCAGAGAATATTCCCGGCTTTGGCTTGATGATGGGGATTCCAATGATGTTTTCCCTCATTTCCTTCATCTCTTTCAGTCTCTGAGGGATGGCCGCTGGCTGTTTATCCGACTGTATCCTCTCCGACATGACAGCACATAGGCTACACTTGTCCGCATTTTTGGCTAGGTCATGGAGGCTGTGATGGAGATATGGCGTTGGTTTGTTTTGTCCTGTTGCGTATTCCAGCCTGACTTTCCATTCAGTTACGTCTTTCGTGAAGCCAGGAATTCCAAAATCAGTGTCCTGAACGTCAACCAAGTCTTTCTTAGCCAGCACATTTGATGGGACATAATGCCCCTGAAAGATACCGGAACAAGCTTTGCAAAGGTTCGTGGACATGGGCGTTGAGGACATCTCGTAATATACAACTCAATGACGAAAATGAGCAGCTGTTAATTTAGTTCAGGTCGAGATGAGATGAGATAAAAAGGAGGGAATGTCGACTTGGACGCTTATAGGGAGCATGATGAGGCCTGCCGGGGGGGCTGCAGGCGGCTGCAGGTTGTTGGCCTGAGCCTAGACAAGGGTCATCATCTAGCATCTCTGAGCAGTCAATCGTTGATACGCGAAGGAAGCCGACTTATAAGGAATGATGAATTGCCGAGGAAATCGAAAGTTGCGTCTTCGGTTCGGTTGGCGTCGCCAATACTGAAGAATTTTGGGATAGAAGTTGGATGTCTCAGTCATGGACAGCTAATTTGTTAGGCGTCAGGAGCGCTAAGTTTAATTAATCCCCCCGCGAAACCTCGACGGTGAATACTACAACACCACGAGTATCAATTTCTTTCTCTACCAGATTTTCTACGAATACTATTGTTTTTACTCGATCTAATCATGTATCACTAAGCAAGACCTTCTTGTTACTTTGTTTTCTGTGAAAGCGCATCCACTTTCACCAAAGAGACTGTCAAGGAGACAAGGCATCATGGACAAATTCCTTCAGAAAACACAAGCGCGAGCAACGCGTTCAAGCGCAATCAATGCATCGCAAAAGTTCTTATCCCAGTTGGAGCCTGAAGATGATAAGAATTCCGTAACTAAGAATCGCGCGGCTAAGCGCCCCTCACCTTCTCGCGACGAAGACTTTGACGCGTCTGAGAGAGACGCGACGCCAGAAAACGATGTCAAGCTGCCTGTAGCAAAGCGACGGAAAACGCAGCTCGCAAGAGGAGGCAAAAATGCAAACTCCAAGATTCATGAGACTCTGTTCTCAAATGAAGGGGAGACATGCCAAACCCCATGCATCCCTCCGTCAAGGCATCATCCTCTCTCATATCACCGACCCCTATTGCTCAAAGAGTCTTCCTCTCGCCGGGCACTTCTCAGCTGGTTTGACGGCGTGAGTACAAAGCGTTCGATGCCATGGCGCAAGCCCTGGATAAATCCAAAGGATCATGGCCAGACAGAACTCCGTAAACTCCTGGAACGACGAGCTTATGAGGTCTGGATCAGCGAGATCATGCTGCAGCAGACGCGAGTTGCTGTGGTCATAGACTACTGGAACAGATGGATGGAAAAGTGGCCCACGATCCACGATCTCGCTTCTGCAAGCGCCGATGATGTTCTCAGTGCCTGGCGTGGCTTGGGATACTACAGTAGAGCAACTAGAATTCACGAGGCGGCAAAGCTTGTAGTGAACGATTCTACTATGGAAGGACTGTTGCCTTCCTGCACTCAAGATCTCGAGGCAAAGGTTCCTGGTGTTGGGCGATACACTGCCGGTGCCATTTCAGCTATTGTCTTTGGACGAGCTGCGCCGATGGTTGATGGAAACGTTTTACGCGTGCTAAGCCGACAACTTGGGCTGTTCGGCAACGTAAAAACCAACAAAGTCGTGATCGATACCCTATGGGCCGCTGCCGATGCTTTGGTCAAAGCTATTGCGCGAGATAGTGATACTCAAAGCGACGAAGAAGTCGAAACAACCGATCGCCCTGGACGATGGGGACAAGCACTCATGGAATTGGGAAGCACAATCTGCATACCCAAGCCAAACTGCTCCGAGTGCCCCATTACTTCGACCTGCCGTGCGTACGCCGAAGGACAAACGTTGATCCCAAGCAAAGATCGTGATGCAAAGATTGGGGACATTGAAGATTTGTGCGACCTCTGCGAGCCCTTTGAAGATTCAACGGCTCCAGACGAGCCAGAGGTCAAGGTGGAAGCCAAGGCCTCCAAAAAGGCCAAGGCAAATGGAGGACAAGGCAAGCAGATGACCTTGGCCGCATTTGCCTTCAAGGGACCATCTGGAGATAAGAAGGCTTCCACGAAAGTGGAAACAGGTCCAGGTCCTCGAGATATGGAGATCATTGTCGATCACGCACGCAAATTCCCGCTCAAAGTCATCAAAAAGGCAGTCAGAGAAGAAGAGACATTAGTCTGCGTGATTCGCCGCGGTGACGGGCAATATCTGGTTCAGAAACGTCCAGAGAAGGGACTTCTGGCTGGCCTATGGGAATTTCCTAGCTATATTCTTGAAGACCGGAAAGAGGGTAACACGCCGGTGAAGCGAAGATCGAAGGCATCGTCATACGTTTCCAAGCTGGCAGGTGAGCACGGAGGCAAGGCAGTGAAACCTAAACATGTGGAGGAGCTTGGCAGTGTACCATGGCTTTTTTCTCATTTGAAGCTTACGATGCATGTGCACTTGTTCACCCTCGAAGATGGTGGCTTGAATGACACAAAGTCGCTTGCTTCAAGTCGACTGAGATGGGCGACTCCTGAAGCTGTTGACGAAGAGTCCATGGGTACTGGGATGCGCAAGTGCTGGACACTTGCTAAGGATCAAGACTAATGAACAATATCAGTTGTATAATTATAGCGCGTGTATTATCAGATGCATGTCACAGTCATGGCGCACAAACAGGTAATGGAATAGAATAAGCTGGAACTTTGGGAGATTTTGAAATACTCATAGTACCACAATTGCAATTGTCCATCATTCGCATCATAAAACAGCTAATTGAATTGCTGTAAATAGTTGATTCTCCAAGCTCCTCAGGTTCCCTTTGATCTTGCGACTCAAATACTTGATATCTCATCATGAGTCCTTCGAGGGTGGTCACGTGTGTCCGCCGACAGCGGGCGTCCCTTGAGTGGAAATCGCCGTGTCAGTAAACTGTGGAGACGCGTCGAGGTTGCATCAGCCCAGGTACACCACTACTTTAACCGCTATATGTCCACATCCTCAGAGCCAAAGACGAGTCAACAGAAATGTCATTTGGTTTGTATATAGAACGATGACGAGTTGGCTTGCTTCTGGTCGCCCGGCTCTTTTTGATGCCATCAATAATGCGTGTGACTTAATTGACCAGCAGATCGCATCAGGTACGTCATTAACATAAGAACAAGGCGTGAATGAGATGGTTAACACGCTTTAGATCTTGAAAAGGCCCAGAAGGAACTTAATGAAGCTCTTCAGCAGCGAGATGATTACGCGTCTAGAGCGTCTGAGTTGGCGGATGAAAATGCAAGATTGAAGCAACAGCTCCAGCAAGCAACAACTAAGACGGCAGAGAACCCACAGGCATCAGCCCGACGAAAATCGCCAGAGAGTAAAACACCAGAAAACGAACCAGACTGGAAGCTTGAGTGTACTAAAGTTAGCCACAAGTTTAAGGCACTTTCGGCAAACTTCAAACAGGCAAAGGATGCCTTGAGGAAAAGAAAAGAGGAGCGCGATCGATGGATTGTTCATGCGACGATGCTGGAAAAAAAGATCAAAGCAGCTGAGGACGAGCATCGAATCAGCATCACAGATCGTCAGAACAGAAGCTTGAGGGCAACCACGCTCCCTGCGGCAAGGACAGAAGATGCTGCTCCCAGCCCTAGTACCAGTTTCGCTTCGGAGGCTGGCCTCGAGCAAGCAGATCTGGAACTTCCACCTCTAGCCGCGGCTTCTCTTCACACTGACAACAATCAACCTGTTCCCGACACAAAAGCCGCCAACCCCAGCTCGGATTCTACGCAAAGCGAGGGTGAATCGAGACCGCACGATGATCTACTGGAGCTACCAGAGCTACCGCTTCAGGGCTATATCAGCGAAGTGAAAATTAAGCAAGAACCGACATCCGATACACCAGTTGTTGTGTCAGAAAGAGAGGTGCGGAAGAGGAAACGCAACGATGCAGATCCCAATGACTCGCCATTACAGAAAGTGAAAGTCGAGCCCAATGAGCGATCCTCGAGCCCCATACAACCGTTGGGGCCTGCTACTCTCCTCGCACAAGAAAGTATAGACTTAGGAGATGTTGCACAAAAATTGTTGACGCCCAGGAAACGACGTGAGCTAGAAGAATCACATAAGTTAGAACAAATGCATAGGGAAGCATTTGCTGCAGCCACGACCCCCAAAAATCTATTTGTTAGGCCCGATCACGTACCTCAGACGGCTCGGCCAATCGAGCGTACCTCAGCACTCACGCCGTTGAGTGTAAATCGAAGGGTGGTGCAGTCAACTCGAGAAAAACCAGACACTCCCCTCAGAAAGGGGCTGGGACGTGGTATCTCGACTCTGGCTGAAGATGGCGAGGCCTACAGAAAGGACAGGGATGCAAACACAACTCCTAGGGGGAGACTTGATACATTGTTGAACAGTCCTGCCGCCCAGAACTCACCTACTGGTCGACTTACCCCCAGAACGGCAACAAGACCAAGCACAACCGCGGAAGACCTTGCAATTCCAGGACGGCGAGTATTACCATTCGAACAAGGGAGTCGAGCTAGAGACAGAACTCCCGCGCAACAACTTGATACTCCCAGTCGAAATCCAGATCTAGGCGCAGCCTCCAAGCTTACACCCCAGAATGTACGGTCTCCTGCGGGCTCCAAGGAGGGGACCCTGCGACGCAAACCAATATCGGAACTACGCCCTGACGACTTCAAAATCAATCCCCAAGCTAACGAGGGTCACGACTTTGCTTTTTCTGATGTGGTGCGCGACAGAAACGAGAGGTCTCGCATGCAAGGCTGTACCGATCTGCACTGTTGCGGGAAGGATTGGCGGGCCCTCGCTCTATCTGAGCGGCCAAATTCCCCCTTAACAGCTGCCCAGCGACAAGAGGAACAGAAGTTGCTGGAGGAGTATCTGGGAGATTTTGCATACCGCTTGGGAACCATGGACAAGAAGGAGAGAGATGAGCTATGGGTTGAGGCCAAGACAAAGGAGCTTGCCAATAAGTATGGGACGCACCGATTCCACTACTCAAGAATGCGAAGTCCTCCAGGCTTTTGGAACGCCGACTTTCCTAACACACAAGAGTTGGAACAAGAGAGATCAGAGGCTGCTCAGCGAGAAAAGCAGACGGTCCGGGACAGACATCGGGAAGCTATGCGCCCCGGTGGTAGATGGCTGTTCCGCGATGAGTAGATTTGGAAGAATGGGAATCACTCTATTGTAAGGATATTGAGCGTATATCTTTTGTCTTTGTGGGAGTTCAGGTATCAAGTTTACAGGCTGGGATATGAAGCATTGGTACAGGTACAAGGAGTAATAAACTAGATCATAATTGAATATCTTATGGCTTAGCCGTTATCATCATGGCTTGAGTTGCGTTGTAGTTTCTGTGATAGGGTTCAGAGTTTAAAAGAGGCTTCAGCTCCAGCGCACAAAGGTATATATCACAAATATACAATACGGGCAATCTTACTACTCATTGCCCTCACTGCACTGTTGCCGAATATCTTGCTATCTGGTGATCTTAGCCAGGATGTTGATATTGGAGAGCGATGCCGGGGCTTGGCCTTGAGTGAGTGGATCCATGTCCCCTCGTTTGGAGTCTATTTTCTGCCTCAGACAGCAACATTTGCCTCCAATCAATAAACCTTGTGCTTTTAGTTACCGGCTCGTGTAGTGCGTGCTGCTGTCGTGCGTGCCCTCCACGAGGTACCTAGTTACGTGCGTTGCGGCTTGAGTCTGTCAGTGCTCATAGGTCATAGCCATAGCCATATCAGCCGTTGCAGAAGCCCACGCCTTGAGGTGGATAATTTTATTCCACACTGGACGGACTGCCCTCCGTTTTACGCTACCACTACCTAAGGTAAGTAACCTAAGGTAACCTCACCTACCATCGCAACGCAACGTCAAGCGTCCCCCGTTTTGCCTGACGCAACTCGGCAAATCCTCTGCCTCTCCCTCATCCTCTCTCTCAGTGCGTCTACTCTTCGGCTTCGACTGCGCTCATTGAAACAAGTCATTCAATTTTTATTTCGGAATTCTTTGTTGCGTTTCATCTTCCATCCTTTGTTTGTGCGGCTTTATTGGCTTGAGTCTGCCGCCTTTGTTCAACCGTGCCGACTTGACAAATCCACCCATCAACTTACTTTTTTGCGGTCAACGTTAGGCCGCCCACAGCTCGTGTCGCGTCGCAAACGCCCTCGCCGTATCGACCCGAGAAACTTCGTCAAACTGAAGCCCGCCGCATACGAACCCTGCACCGTCCGCGAGAGGAGGCTCACACGCTGTCTACACGGGTGTCGCATCAACTGGGCGACTCCCGTCCTCACTAAATCCCCAAGCCGGCACGATGAGTAACCGCCATCTGCCGGCTGGGCAGAATATACAGGGGGGAGCTCACGGCGCCGATATGGTCGGCGGTCCTGGAGCGCCTCGTCGGAGGCAGCCTCCTCCCTATGTTCCGTACCAGCAACATCACCAGCATATGAATGCTATGTATCCTAACTACATGCCCTACAACCAGCCGTATTATGGGTATCAGCCACACTACCAGGGTCAACACTACCAGAACGCACAGTATCCGAACGCGCAGTATCAAGGCGGACAGTATCAGGCGGGACAGTATCAGAATGGTCAATACCCAACCGCACAGTATCAAAATGCTGGAATGCATTCTCCTGGATATGTGCCTTACCAGAACTTCGCACGATCACCACCTGCTATGCCTCAGTACGTCCCCATGTCTGGCGTGAGCGTTCCTCCGAGCTATACTCCTCGACCAGCTCAGCAACAGTCACCTGCTTTGTCGAACCCCTACCAACCTCCGGCTGCGGCTCCAATCCCGCCCCAAACTCCGACCTCCACCCACTCGTCACAGATGATTCCTCCCCCAACTCCCCCGGTCCCCCAGGAGACTGAGCCAGTCCCTCCCACTCCTGCTGCGCCTGTCGAGCCTGCCGAGCCGACCAGGTTCCCTACGCCTCCTCCCGCTCCTAAGGAACCCTTCCGTGCACCTGTAAGTTGATAGCCTGATAGCAAATCTTACTCAAACTGACCCTACCAGCTACCATGGTCATCTCACCCGGATTTCAAGTTCCCTGCTAGGGCCACAAAGTCGAGAAGACGGAGGAGACAACTCAATGCTGACAGTGAAGCTTTATCTTTACCAGTTGAACAGCAACAAGCGGCCACAGAGCATGCCAATGCTCCCGAAGCTAATACCACCCAGCATTCGGTCGCAGTTCTCACACCCGCTTCCTCAGCTGCTCCCTCTGAGGCTGCCGAAGTAAAGGCTGCCGATTCTCCCGTCTCTCCCGTCCAGCAACGATCTCGCACCAACACTGCAACCAGCGCTACCTCGACTGCGACGAACCGCCCTGCCGCTCGTTCCTCCACCGTCCCTGCCCCAGCTATTCCTTCTCTCCCTAAAGCCAGTCCTAAGGAAGCTAAGCCAGTGCATGCTGAAAAGCCGGCAAATGGCAATGTAGCCCCTGAGACTGCTCAGGAGACGTCGACGAAAGCTGAAGGCTCCGAGAAGGGAGCCCCTGAGAAGCCTGCTGAACCTGTGCCCGCCGCCGAACCTGCCCCTGCAGTTAAAGCTGCCCCTGCAAACTGGGCGG